AATCCAGAACAAGTAATAGAATTATTATCTAAAAATTATACAGCTTGTGCACAAATGGCAAATCTTCTTGCAGAGTGGCTTATTCTTGCTGGAGTTAAAGTTACAGATGTTCAAGCAATGGTAGAAAATAATTTAAAAGATATGATATTAAAAACATTTGATCCCAAAAAAGCAGATAAAATCTTTACAGAAGAGGGTGAAGTAAGTTTGTAAACTTTTATTTGATTTTTGAATTATAGATTATAATCTTTAATTAATATTTAAAATTTAATATTTTATGCATTAGACTCCTGCTTGGTTAACAGAAATGATACAACATCCCACTTGGCGATCACTTATTTACAGACTTGCAGAAGAATATCCAGATTGCTTGATGTTAAACTTTACAATAAAGGTAAAAGACAGAGAAAGGTAATTTTATAATTCAGATTTTTTATAAAATGTTTACTTTTATATTTGATTTATACTATATAATTTTAAGAACTAGATTTTAAAAATTTATACTATATTAATGATTTTAAGAACTAGATTTTAAGAATTTATACTATATTAATGATTTTAAGAACTAAACTTTATAAATCAAAATTCAAATATATACATTTTGTATATATATTATATATTTATTATATATATATTGTATAATATTTTTTTTTTTTATATATATTTTTGATAGCTTATATCTGATGCTGGATTTCAAGGTGAAATTACAAGTATTTCAACAGCTGCTCAACAAATTGAAGTGTTTTCACGAGTTTTAAAAACTGCAATTGCTGGATTTTTACAAAATACAGAAGATTGGCAATCAAGTATACAAGAATGTGCGGTTAGTATAAAATATGTAATTCATATGTAAAAATAACTTATATAAGAACAAATTTTTTTCAAAAAGTAGATTAAATTAGAGAAAATATTTCTAATTTAATAATTTAGGAGTACAGAAAGAAATTAAAATAAAGAATGTCTCATTAATGACAAGAATGAATCATTAATGTTTTTTTATTTCTGTTTTTAATATATTCTGTTTTTTTAATGTATTTCTGTTTTCTCTATGATATAATAATAGCAAAATGTCCATATTTAGGATATGATTCTCTTATTAGAATTTCTAATTGGTACTGTTCATTATGCTGTTTCGTTTTGTTTTGTGCATACAATGTTTATATACATAAAACAATCATTGTTGATTGTTTTATGTATATAATTGATTTTCTATTCAGAAATGAAAGATGATTGCATATTATCTATATGAGATCATATATCAGAATACAATTATGTAAGATCAGCACTATGTTTGATATATATAGCGAGAAATTTACAACATAATTATTAATTTATAACATAATGTATTTGTTATATTATTAACAAAGTTTTAACTAATTGTTTTCCAATCAATAAAATATCAATTTTTTAGTGTTCTGATAGTTTTAATACTTACAATAATACATACATAAATCAATTGTCATACTTATTTTAAATAATTAATAATTGTTAAGTAAAAAAGTACAAAAATTATTTAGTATAAAAAATGATATCATACAATTATAAAAAAGTTATAAAAAATTTTATTTTTCTTTTGAATCAATCTTCTGAATAATTTATAATATATATATTCCCAAAGACTGTTTAAATTATTTATGAAATTTTTTGCGCTATTTTTTTAGATTGTAACCAAATTTTATTCTGTTTTTCAAATCAGTAAATATAATTTTGCAAAAAAATAATAACTTAACATTTTAAAAATTAAATAAATAAAATGGATTTCTTTATAGAAATTATAATTTTTTATGTTCTTTATATACATCTTATAAATAAAGTTTTTGAACTTCTTAATCAAATCTTATGCATATATATTGAAATATAAATTTCAATTTATAAAATTAAAAATTAAAAATTTTAATCTAAGTAAAATAAATTGATAAATAAAATAATAAAATCAGCAAATTTAAAAAATACCAAAATATAAAATGTTTAAGTATTATAATATGATTTTTTTGCTGTTAGAAAATGGTGTGTCATGGACAACATACTTATGTCTATAGTCAAGTGCTATTACAAATTCTCGCACAAGAATCTCGTGGTGGATTTATGATGAAAAGGCTTTCTCAAGAAATTACTAAATGTGCTCAACAAAAGTAAGAAAAAATTTTTTAATATTTTATTAAATATATAAATATATATAATGAAGATATATTTAATAACAAATAATATTGAATTTCTTTTTTAAAAATTACTTTTTATCATTTTTTAACAGAAAAAAAGTTAAGTTAATTATTCAGAATAGGAAAGAATCCTTATTAATTTTAATGATTTTTTAATATATAGAAAACAAAATTTTAAATAATTTTTTTCTATGTATATACTGCCATTCTGCCTTAGTTTTCGAAATATTTGTAAAAAAAGATGTTGTTACATATAGAATTTCTCTTATATGTCTATGACTATATGTTTATAAATATTTGCGATTATCATTTATCTATTATTTATATAAATACATTCTAAACTGTGACTAAAATTAATTACCTATTATTAATAATAGGTAATCCGATTAAAAATTTACTTACTCATTTATTTGAGCTTAAAATGTTTCAAATTCAATACAGAACTTGATTTTGGATCCGTGGAATGCAAAAATAAAATATATAATAACTTTTAGACGATTGAAATTACGATAGATACTAAGAATGATGTTGATATTTATTATTTTAACCGCAAAAGGATTATTCCATATTTTATTTTTGCATTCTACGAATACGAAGAAAACTTTACTGAAACAAAATAATTTATTATTTATTTATTCCATATATTAGAAACATTACAAAAAATATAATTGAGAAATTTCACTTAATTAATAGAGAGTTTTGTAATTAATGTGATTTAAATTGTATAATTTACATTAAGAATGGAGCATTTGAAATTTTGAAAGTTTTTGAAACTCTTGAAAGCCAAGAATAAATAATTTATACTTTTGAAAAACTCAAGTATAAATAGCTTATTTATATTATGATCATATTAATTTATATTTATTTAACTAATAATGATTAAATTTATTTATATTTATATTTTAAATTTATTTTAATTTACATAATTTTATCAATTCATTATAATAATTTATGTAGAGAAAATATAAAACATAAATTTTTATTTTTTTTTAAATTATTATTATTATTAATTATTTTCGAATCTGAATTTGAAAATTCCAAAAATTAAAATTTTAATTTTTGATAAAATGAATAGTCCTTAAAAAAAGAAATGAAAATAAAAAATATTCAAAGTTTTGAGATTTAAACAGTTTTTAATTCAAATTTCGTGAATTTAGATTTTGATCTGTCTCTAATTTATATGTTTGTTTATAGTCATCATGATGTTACCCCAATAACAATGGCACTTAATGGAGCTTCAAGTAGTCCTGGTGCATGTCAAGCATTGGCATCTATGTTATCACGAAATACTTTGAATCCTGCTGATATTAGTGTATTATTTCGAAATTATTCAACAGCAGAACCACCGCCTATAGAGTTACTTCGTAATCCACAATTTTTAGGTATTAATATAATTTATTATTATTATTATTTATTATAATTATTTTCAGAATTAATGCACACAACACTATAATTAATGAATTCCAGAATTATTAGTTGATGCACTTTTTAAACCAGGCGTAAAAATTAATCCTGAACATAAATCCAAATACATATATTTATTAGCTTATGCAGCTAGTGTATGTGATATTCCAGCCAAAAAAGGACATTCACGAAAATTAAACAAAGATGAATTAAAAACAACTATTCAAGCTATAGAAAAAGTTCACAATATTTGTAATATTAATAAAGGATCTACTGAATTGATAGCAGAATTACAAACTTTATATCAAAGCATAAGGTATAATAATATACTAAACATTATTTTTATCATTATTTACAACAAAATAATATATAATTTAATTTTTATTTTTTTTTTTTTTTTTTTTTTTTTTTTTTTTTTTTTTTTTTTTTTTTTTAGGTTTCCTGTTGTAAGTGTAGGTGTAATTAGATGGGTAGAGTGTACTGTAACAGAACCATCATATTTTAAATTATGTACAGAACATTGTCCTGTACATCTTGCATTACTTGATGAAGTTGTAGTTTGTCATTCTTTATTACATCCAAAAGTATTACAACTTCTTGTACAATTATTTGAAAGTAAACAAGATGAACTAGAAATACTTGTGCAGGTAAAAATAGAATTGCAAAGAAAATTACATTTTTATAAATAAAATGATTTCTCTCTTTTTTAAAATCTAGATTCGAATCCTTTAATTGTCAAAATAAGAAATGTTCAGAGTATGGAGAATATACACTTTTGAAACATATATTCTTAAAATTATTTATCATTCAAAAAGTTGAAAAAGAATTTATTTGATTCATTTTTTTATTTGTAATTTATTTAATTCAATTTTCATTTCTTTGTTTATAACCATTCCATTCTTTATTATAAATATTATTAAAAAATTAAAAATTTGAAAAATCTTATAATTCATTTATACAATACAATAAATATTTGCATAAATATTGTTATTTATAAAAAATAATATAATTATGAATACATAATTGTAAATGAATAATTGTTAATACTTTTTTTTACTATACAGTTAGAAATGAAAAAAATGTTAATTGATAGAATGGTGAATTTATTAAGTCGAGGTTGTGTGGTACCTGTTGTGTGTTACATTAAACAATGTTGGCAACGTGGAGATACAGATGTATCTTTAATTAGATATTTTGTTACAGAGGTATTATAAAATTATTTTTAAAAGGAATGTATGTTATGTTTAACAATATTATAATGATTATATTTTAGGTTTTAGAAGCAATAGCTCCACCATATACAGTCGAATTTATTCACTTATTTCTTCCTATGGTTGAAGATGAAGAAATAACAGGTACAATGCGTGGTGATAGTGATAATGATCTTGTCTCAGAATTTATAGGTGAGTTTATAAAATGTATTACATAGAAATTATATTCAATTGTAACATGTATATTTTTTTTAGTACATTGTAAAGCCCATTGTCCTACTATAAGATGATCTTCTAAGAGAAAAATGGATTAAATTAAAAATTGGTTAAAAAGAAACAGATAATATTATAGGATATTTTTACTTCTTACAAAAATGTTGAATTACTATACATAAATTACTATTTTATTAAATCTCTTATTTGTTTCATATACAATATACAAGACATGCATATAGATATATATATATATATATGTATGTATATATTAGAAGAGTAGGATGATTTCTCCATCAATCTGTGATATTATAATTTATGAGTTTCTGAAACAAAAACAAGAAAATGTAATTTTTGTAGATTATTACATTTTTTTAATAAATAAATAAAAATAAATAATTTTTATAATTTGAAATGTTAAACACATCACACAATAAAAATGTTAACATATGATGTTAGAAACAATTTCTATAATAATTCAAAAATTTTTTTCATGTATCATCTAATAATTTTCCTAAATTTTAAAAAAAAACTGAAATTGTTTAATCCAATCTTATTAAAAAAATTATTCTATTTTAAAGAATATATTTATCAAATATTTTTTAAAATATTCATCAAATATTTTCAAGAATTATATTCTTACTAGTTATAAACAATTTCAAATATTTAAATATTTAAATAATAAAACTTCAACATATATCTAAATAAATATATCTAAATAAAATCTATCTAATATATCTAAATAAATATTCAAATATTTACATTCTTGGAAAATTAAGTGAGTATCCAAATATGTATAAAATTATTTAAAGTTTTTAATCATATAATATAAAATATTTTTAATTATATTTTTACTTAAATTGAAGATAGAAATAAAAAAAATAAAAGATTTTTGAAAAATAAATTAATGTGGAATATTTATGATTAATTCGAATTTTTTTTACAGAACTATTATTTTGCTTTCAAAATAATTTAATAATTTAATTTTATTTAATGAAAAATATTGTTTTACATCATACATATATGTATTTATAATGAAATTTTGTATTCTTTAATATTATATAATATTGTCATATTAATATTCAATGATCAATATAAATTTTTTTAAGCAATATTTATAACATAAATTACAAACTTTCAATAAAATAATATGAAATAAAAATAAAAAAAATATTAAAACCTATAATTCTACATATTAAAATCTACATATACATATAATATATATGTATTATACATAGTATATATACCTAATGAATATACATTGATTTATCCAGAACTTCAATTCTCTTTAAAAGGTTATTTTCTTTAAATTTGCTAATAAATCACTAATTTAATTATATTAATTATATTAATTATTTTATATAAAAATATAAATTTGATAGTATATTGTTTGGTAATATATTAATAATAAAATATTTAGTAGTAAACAATATTTTTCTTGCCCCTTGCAAATACACACTCTACAAATATTTTTGTTAATAAATATTTAATCGTGCATTTTTATATAAACTTTTATATAAAGACACTTACATATTGTAAATATTATTGTAAATATTATTACTTTTCAGCTGTAATCAAAATTTTACCATAAGTAATATATGTATTAATATATTATGATTAATGATGAGATCAAATTTAATATATATTCATAAATTTAAATTAAATTCATTGCAAAAGATATATTTCATAGAAATTAAATATTACCAATGAAATATAATTATTCACTTACATGTATTATATATAATATTTGTACTAATTAATATTATGTACTAATATATATTATAATAAATTGAAATAAACATAAAATATAATTGTGAAAATTAATAAATAAAATATTTATAAAATAAATAAAATAAAAAAATATACTTACTAGCAGGTTTACCATCTTTCCATTGAGTAAATTTTATATTTGTTTCATCACGTTTCAAAGCTTCTGCTCGAAACTCTGATTTTAATGCTTGTCTAACAAGTTTAGCAGCTATTTGAGAATAATTGATGTAACTGAAATGTAAGAACAGGTTATATAACATTTTTTAATAATTTTTGTGACAAGGTGAAATTTGAAATTATATTTTACTTTAATCCTGCTTGTCTCCACGCAGACATTTTTAATGATAATTTTTTTAAAAAAGATTTTTATAATATGAATATAATAGGATAAGTTGAAATAAATTAAGTCTGACACTTTTCCGATAAGTATATCTTACTATATTTTATAAGGAATATTAGTACAAGCATATACTACAACTATAAGATAGGTAAGTACGATTGAAAAATATTTCATTTTAAATTTCAAGATTTTAACTTCTATTATGAAAAAATATATTATGTAAGTTATATAAATAAAAAATTTGAATAATTTTATTAAGAAATTTATATATTATAAAAATACATATTTTATTTGAATAATCATAAATACATGCAGCAACAATATTTAAATTTGAAAATAAAACTAGAGATATTATATACATAATACATTTCATAATTTATTAATATTTTTATAATTGTATTTAATAAAATTAAATATATTTTGAGATTTAAAATAATAAAAAATCATGAATATTATTTTATTTTATTTACATATAATTATTGCAAAAATTTTAACACTAGGGAAATTTCATGTAAATTGATACAAAATTAAATTTTATATGTACTGTAAATACATGAATGGAACATTCTATAGTAGCTGGTCACTGACTTCTAGGAAGTTTCTAGCAAGATGTCGGGGGGTGTTTTGCGTGATAAGCCGCTGGTATGCTTTTGGACGATATGACTTACCCATTGCAGTGTATGTATACAAAATTCCGGCCTATATTAAATCCCAGAGTGTTGTCATATTGCTGAAGTTAAGATTCAAATTTAGACTATTCTTATAACATTATAAATCAAGAAAACTAGGACTATTTGCAAAAATTGTCAGTGCGTGTACCACTGCCAAGACTAATATTTGGAATAATTTTAATTTTTCTTTCAATTGTGGGTTAAAATTTTTATTTTAAACAAAAAGTTTTTATCAAAATTGACAAATACGTTATTATTATTTAAAATTGGGATGGGAGCTAAAGCAAGTACTGTGGCACAATCTGCTGGAGATAATGGACAATCCTCTACTGGAGCAAATGAAACTGCAATGCAAGGATTTTCTATGCTACGTTCTCTTCCTGGAGGTGTTAGCATGTTACAACATCAACATCAGCAAGGAAATCAATCACAAACTTCTCGTATATCTGGAGATAATAGGCAGCGTGCTCGTTCTTTAAGTTCAGTACCAGATCTCACATCTGGTGAACAAAGCAATCTTGCTTCTTCAGTTGGAGTTGGAGTTGGTCAAGCACTAGGTTTGCCACAACTGGATTCAGATGATGCTGATGAAGAAAGTGGACGAGTTTATGCAGCACATAGTTTACCATCTCATATTTGGTCCCTTAACGGTAAGTTTATTAGTTATAATAATATATTGTATTCAAAATAATAATTATTTTTTCATCTCATTTATTATTATTATATATATATATATATATATATACATACATACATAAGTAGTTATTTACATATATACATATATATCCAAGTAATCACTATATAAATATATAATATAATAATATATTTATTCTCAAAATTTTTAATATGAAATTATAAAAAATTTATATAATCCATAAAATCAAAAATAAATATGAATTAATTAATATAATATAAATATTATCATTGATTACATAACTTTCTTTTTAATATGCAGCTATCTAGAGTACTTATATATAAATATAGATAAATTTGTGTTTTCAATTTTGTTTATTTTGGAAAATAATAAATATTCATTATATATTTTTTGTATTTTTATTAATATATTATATACTAAGAATTACTAAATATAATTTTTTTATTTTTTAAATTGATTGTTTTTCAATTATGCTAAAAATTTTAATTTAGTGCATTATATGTTATAATGTGTTATTAATTAAAATGAAATTTTGAAAAAAAGTAAGGTTATGTTACGATCTTAAAATTTTTTGAAATATTGCGGATAAAATACATAAAAAGTATTTGTTTGATTGATTCGTGTTGTCATAGTAGTTGGCCCGGTAACCACATATGAATCGATTGCGTGATTTAACCTAGTTGCGTAAATTTTAAATTGCGACTGTAAAATAATAATTCTAAACAAAAAATTTTGTGCAACTTTATAATATTGTTTGTAATGGGTATAATAAAGTTATTTGAATTTTATTATGGGAATTATAATAAGTTCATGCCTAAATGAATCTGAGACAGAAGTTGTTCCAGTAAATCAAGTGAGAAGAATTTTTTATGGTATAATTTCTCTTAATTTCATATGATATTATGATATTATTAAAATAGCAAATAATATTTTATTTTATATTCAAGGTCTAAAATGTCCTGTTTGCTCCAAGTTTATTCTACCAGATGATATAGAATGTCACTTGGTTATGTGCTTAACTAAGCCACGTCTTAGTTACAATGGTGAGTTTTTGTTTAATAATTATAAATTTTTTTTTATTGTATTTTTATGTAATATTGTAATTTTATGTAATATTATATTTTTATGTAAGAAACAATTAAAAATAATTAATTTTTTTATATATATAAAAAATATGTATGTACATATATATATATTTTTATATATATAATATGTAAAAAAAATTAATTATTGTTAATTTTTTGCATAAATAAATACAATTGAATAGTTTAAAAATAATTAATTAATTTTAATTAGTTTTTTTTAAGATTATGTAGATTTTAGGAATCTCTCA